GGACTCCTCTTAAACCTTATTTTCAGTTGCTTTCATTATCCTCATGAAATACGCAGGTGAGCGTTTCGAATTATGGAAAGCAGAGTTGCGTTATTTTTGTTCACGATGCCTTTAAACCACATACAAATCCAGAGGGGTGATGACAATTTCCTTCATGAAGGCAAGCCGAAACTTCATGGAATTTTTATGTTGTAAAAGTAGAGCGCACAAATACGAAAACTTGTACAGTACTTGCTTAATCCCCTTCTGGAAGATGAACGAAGCGAATTTAAACAAAGACTAACCTGAACCGCAACTTCTTGTCTCACTTGCTGAACAGCAGCTTTTCCAAGAATTAATGACTTTTGCTGGATTTTCAACGCATAGATCCCTCTGCTGTCATTCTTAGCAATGGCTCGATACACACGTCCGAACGAGCCATAGCCAATTTCATTCGAAATCTGCACAAAAAAAAACGTTAGAGTGCAATTTTATTTGCTTCGAGTTACTTTAACCACTGGGCAGCTGCCGTCAAAGTCCTATTAAAGGCAGCAGTAAACTGTGTCATATTTGAAGAATACGAGGAGTTTTGATTCCGCAGTTTGGAGACACATTCTATCTGGAGGGAGCAACCTCTAGGCGAGAAAATGGACCGGAGCGCATTTGCAGTTGGCCCTATAGCCTGTAGCACAATAGTGTCAAGTAGGGGAGTTACGAGCTCGTGATACCCATGTGAATCTGACAGCGATGGTGTCCTCGTAAAAGGAACGAAAAGAAGGACGTGTGCGTTGGTGTCTGTCGTGGTCTCTACCCTCCTGTCCTTTCATTATTTCTGGTCATCTAGTCACTCACTCGAGCGCCTAGTTTTTCAGTTCGAGAGTGCCCCAAACCCCGTCCCAGAGGCCCCAAAACCCCGAAAACCAAATAAATGGCGCTTGCAAGATCCTCAACGCTGATGCTTCTGAATGGCCCCTTGGTTTTTTCCTTCAATGATGAGAGTGGGGGGGGGGTCGTGTCGGCTTATGCAGGAGCAACCTTCGATCATTAACTGCACACACTTGCGCTGTTTCCGAAATAGTCCTTTTAGCGCCAGCTTTTTCGTACGTCTGCATCTATTGCCCCTGGTGAGCAGGCGCTTGTGAGGAGACGAGGCACTCTATTGATGAGTGACAGGTGAGCCAGGTGATGTGGACCGTGGCGGGTGACTGATCGGAAAAGGTTCGTGGGCAAAAACAGCCTTTAACGGACGACAATAGATTTCGTGGGCAAATCGCCTATAGCGGACGACAGTAGATCTTGATGTATCCCTGCGGCAGGGCGCAGCATCGTGATGTGTGAAATAGTGATGTCGTACGAACACCCCCCCTAACTAAGGAGAGTTCTGGGTGCGGCCCTCGCCATCCCCAACCCCTATTCATTTTCAAGTTTTCACCCAAAGATTTTCCGTCGACCAGGGGTATGTAGCCAATGTGAAGCGAGGAAAGTTCTTAGATTTTTCCCAATTCCTATCACTTTTTTTAAAGTTTACCCAAAAATTTTGCTGTTGAGCGGGGAGAGGGGGGATGAGGGGTATATAATACAGATGAGACAGGAAAATCACGCGAAAAGTCAACAACCGGCAAAATTTTCTGCTAATTTCTCTCGGCCACATACGACTCCACCCACCCCCCTCGCCCAACAACCACCAAATACGACCACCCCCTCCCCCAAAGCGGAAAAGTATGATTCCCCTATGATGCTGTACCCTGCCCAGCGGTCTCGTTATTAGTTCGGATTTTTTGATGGGTTATCCAAGAAAAGTAAACAATTCCAAGACTCATTCGACGACGGAGGGGGGGGGCACTTTACAACTCCAGTGGCGGTTTTCAGGTCTCACTCTGTCGAAACCTGTGAACTCTTGTGAAGCTGGAGCAAGGTTGTCGAGCCACCATGGTGAAACCTGTCAACTCTTGTAAGCTCATGAAATAGCTTTCCAAATGGCTCTACACATCGATGGGAAGGCGCAGAAAAGTAAAATACCCCCGCCCCCGTCGCCGAACTGTGCCTTGTTCCAATCCTTTCTGGAACAACCAAAAGCGTTTGTAGTAAAAGAGGTGCTGTGTCATTCCAGAGTGATGAAGTGAAGAATATCTTGCGATCTAACGAAAACTGTAATAGCCGTTGCACGACCCAACTCACCAGAAAGTTCTCTTCCGTAATAGCGCTCCGTGACGGGAATTCAGGCAAAAACAGCGCTTCCAGCCATGGTATAGGGAATTCCTTGCGATGAATATTTGTACAACTTTCTGCAATTGAACCTCTCAAACCTGTCTGCAATTAGATCATTTCTTTGTGACCATGTCGACTGTCAAATGTCCTTTATAACTTAAAGAGAGTGGGCAGCGGCGCTGACAGGTTACGGCTGCATTCACTGGCTTGAACGGCACAGGCGTCTACCAGCTTCCACCTACGCCCGAGCGTCCGGCACCGTCAGCGACTAGGAACGTGTAGGTATCGATCTAGCGTCTGCCAGCGTCCGCCAGCGTTCACCAGCGAACGGAAGTAGGGAGTATAGGGATGTAGGAGCGTAGCAAGCAGCTGGATCGGGCGTCGTGAAATTGCCGGCTGTGCACGTAAGCACAGAAATTAATGCCTTTAATGCACGGTGTAGTGTAGTTGCACGCTGCTGTTGCACACGCCGAAATTTCACGACGCCTAATCCAGCTGCTTGCCTCCCTCCTACTTCCCCATTCTCCCTACTCCCGGTCCTGACGAACCCTGGCGGAGTGAATAGCGATAGATTGATCTATATACTTTCCTGCTCGACACTGACAACATGTAGCGCTGGTAGAACTGGCATGCGGCTTGAACGCTACTTGTACTGGAGGTAGAAGCGGTGGCACGCTGCAGCAAGTATGCAACGCAGCCTAAGCTTCTTCCATCAATAAACATGACAAGCCGCTCATCTACTACGAATATTCACGCCTGAGTACCTAGCTCACTAGCCTTGGACCAATCTAATAGCAAGCAGTTGCTTAGTCGCTCAACAATTACTACTTCCACGACATTAACATTACTAAAATAATCCAAAACACTACTTCTTCTATTTACACCCTTCACGTAATAATGTATAGCAACTTACGAAAGCTATCCGAAACAGACGCAGCGTCGCTGCTGTTGCTTGATTGTCGAAAGGCGTCTAATGATCGACAACGGTCTCTCATGGACTGATTGTTCCCAATTTCTGAAACAGTACAGACATTCCTCTCCCGAAACTATGTTGTCGTCAAAGACCACTCGGCTGCACATGTTCATGCACTAGTGTTAGAGTCCAAGCAAACGTCGAACAAAAGATGCACTTCAACTTTGAAGGGATGGTCCGCGATCAGGTAAGAAGTTGAAAATATGGCGTCGGGATAGAGTGGTCCGCGACGAACAACCTTGTACCGGTTTCGCGGCAAAAAATTGTAAGGGAGGGGCGCTATAGCGCAATATAGGTTCAGTGACGCCTCCTTTTTTCCAGTGACTCCGCCTCCAGACTCCGCCTTCGAGGCCTGCCTTCCAGAAGAAAACGAAGCTGCGAAAAAAGCATGAAAATCGTCACCTATAGAGTATAGAGTACCTATAGTCCGGTCGTAGAGTTCTTATCGGAAAATCAGCTGTGCGGATGAGGGCGTAGTGTTGGAGATGGAGTTATTGGGCACGTACAAAGGGATCGAAATGGGGTTCTATCTAGGGCAGTTGGCATGTTTTTTGTTTTTTTTCTTCACTATCGAATTACTCAGAATATTGCCGTCTATATGGGAACCCCTCCTTAATCCATATTTGTGATGATCGCGGGTTTTGCTTTTAAAGATGGCACTTGATGATGACTTTGTGACATTTCCATCCCATAAAGTGAGGACAAATAAGGCCGTAGAAGGTCGAAATAGCTGGAATGGAGGTGCTCCTTGTGTTCGTGTTAAAAACGTCTGAGTTTTTTTTCGAGAGTCCTAAGAGGGAGATAAGTCAGGCTGGTTCAGCGCCAAAGTCGACAAAATATAATAAATGGGATGGAATAGTGACGACATGAGGAACGAATTCGTGCCAAAAAAGTGTCATATCGGGCTCAAGTGCTCATGCTACCGTGGGGCGAATTCTCTCTCTACCTCCATAAAAAATCCCAGCTTTCGAGACAGTTAATGTTCGTGGGTGGTCGAGGACTAGGATAGTAGTCAAGAGCCTTAGAACTATTGTACATCCAGACATAGAGACAAACTGTACCCTCAACTCCGAAGACGGTCGTTGCCGGAGAAGAAGGGATGGCAGCCGCACAAGTGTAAGGTACTTTCGTCATTTGAGAGCGCAGGGAAATAAGACCGAAAGCTACTGGTAGCCAGGCGCAGTTTGGGACTTCACCCTCGTTATTCTGCAGAACTTTTATGGTCATGCCGAAATCCCGCAGCGAAACAAGCACTCGGCGCTGGGGAGCAGGTAGAAGTGAGAGGGCGCAGACAAGTAGCGCGTTTGTCTATGGTTGGACTTGCTGCAGTCCATGCGGCAGCGCGGGCGGGGTATGAACAGGGCAGCTGGGTGTCACTTCTTTACAGCACCGTTCCCGTGCACTTCCGAGCGTAGAAAGCTGCGGATCCATTCATCTCGCATCTACCAAGGCGGGAGGGGGGAAGATGAGTGCCCAGGTTGTTTTAAAGGGAGTAATTCGGTATAGCACCAAGGCGTGCAGTATGGAGGTGAAACTGATGTTTCTGCCATGCTGATGGCAGACAGCGAGAAGAACCATGTCTCAGAAGAAGGTGAGGATGAGAAAGAAGAGGAGGGGAGCACCATGTTTGAAGCTGCTGACTTTTTCAGCAAGTTTGTAAGAAATGTTGAATATGTCGCACCGCGGTCTTGAGCCGGGAAGCCAATTACAGGAATTAAGACAACACAAACGAGATCACAAGCCAAGAAAAAGGTAGCTCGTAGAGACTCCAAGGAATAAAGCATATGACTGAGCATGAGTGTCGTGCGGTGGGAAGACCTATGTATAGTGTAGTTCGCTGCGGACAGTGGGGCGTGTCAGGCAGTATGAGTGTGCCACGGTGAAAACCCGTTCTCTGCCAGTTGTTGAAGCAGTTACGCGACAACAGTTGTTGGGAAACGAGTGATACGAACGACATGATACAGTCTTGTCACTTGCTCGCTTTAACAGCTGGTGGAGAACGGGTTTGGCACCGTGCCAAACTCATCCTGCCTGACACGCCCCACCGTCCGCAGCGAACTACACTGTAGTTGCTCACAAGAAGCGTGAGGTAGAGAACTCGGTCATGCGAGACCAAGCATGACATCATGCTTCTCCCCTCCCATTTTCAAAGAACACCTAATCTCTCGAATAAGGAGTTCGATGGATGGTGCTTGAAATAGTGGAGAATGTTCTTGCGAAGTCGAAAAACCACTTATTAGAGGCACTGCAGACGGTATATTGAATTTATGAAATTTCGTTATGAGTTGAAAGAGTGGCTTCTGAAGTAGTCTTTCAATAGCGAGAGAAGCGAAGGAAGTAGCTAAGGAGGCGTGAAATCAGGCTTTCTGTCCTAGAGTCCGTTTTTAGAAAGCAAGTAGGTAAATCGAATTCAAGGACACATCTACTTGATCAAAAACGTCTGTTAGCATAGAATCAAAATCAATTTGGGTAAAGGGTTAGCTTCAGGTCAGGTTACTCAAGGTTACGGTGGCAAAGTAACATTTTTCTCATTTTGTTGATGATTACGCGAGTAGCGATGGCATCTCCTTAGAGCACATTCATGACTTTTTCCCAGTGCTCAAGACAGATGATCTTGAAATTTTTCCGCAGTAGGATCTTTTCTTTGAAAGTAAGGTACTATCCGCTTCGCCTACATAGAGAGCCGCAGCGTCAAGGGAATCCCCTTGGGAGTGTCTGGCCGCTGACGGAAGAGGGTTGTGTGGGGTCCGTCAGCACCAAACGGCGCAGTTCAGTGGTACACGGGCCTGCATGACCGCTGATGTTCTACTGGGGATGACTGTATATGTAGCCATGACTAAAAACAGATCATCCCGCACGATAGGACCATTTTGTGAGGTTAAAAACCTCTGTGATTTGAGCAATAGCCGAATGGCACCCCCAAAACAGCCGGGATCAATCGACGACAAGGAAGCTCTCTTTTGTGGGGTTAAATTCATTCGATTCAACAGAAACACGGGTTTTGAGAGCATGCTGAGCTTTTCGGATGGGTCCTGCTACAACGTCGTAGAGAAGTATCGAACTTTAACGCAGCTCAGGATTTCGCACCCCTAGGGAAATCAAGCTGGCACATTTCCTTTGGCGATCATTAGGAAATGATCTTACTGAGAAACATGAGTTGCAAAGCCAACTGCGAATATGATTGCATCCAGTGACCATCTCTCGGTTGTACCAGACAGCGTTTTTTTGGAAGGGGGAGGGTGCGGGGATTGTTGTATCGCCGTCATTTTACACATCGCATTATGCTGCCTGCCGCCATCTGAAACACCTCGCGATTTCTCTGGGAAAATGGCAACTTTTTCGAATAGTTATTTGAAACGATGCTGTTGACTTTGCAAATGATTGCGTACTGAGAATTCGTAAGCGTCCAAAATCTAAAACTCGCACGTAGTGTTCAATTTGCTCATATGAAGCTTATCAAAGACATTTTCCGCACTGGAGAAGATTTCGAGTAGGTTAATAGAATTAGAAACTATAAACGCAGTATTT